TTTAAATAAATTTAAAAATAAATTAATTTTTTTTAAAAAGTAAGTATTCCAGTACATATTATTTTTGACTTAAAGGTCATTTCAATTGAATTTAAAAAATATATTTTTAAAAGTCAATCCAACACAAGATTCTTAAGAATTTTTTTTAATTTTGTATATAATTAAATTATTTGTTTATGATAAAAACGTAGAATTAAAAAATATTTTAATTTAAACGAAGATTTTTATAAAAAAAAATTGAACAAAAACAGATTAAAAAAGAATGTTACGTATACTGGGACAGCGGTGGGACAAAAGGAATACTAGTTTTGGGGATTTTATTTTTAGTTATATATGCATCGATTGTTTAAATATTTATTATACAATTAGGTACGTTTATTAAGGTAATTATAAGTAAATTAATTCGTGATATTGGTGACTGATATATTCCGTCTTAAATTTAGGTAGTAGGATTTGGTTAGAGTCTCTGACACAGAATTTAAGTGGTACAAATAACTTAAAAGATAGTCAAAATGAAAACGAAGGGACAAACTAATATACTATTGCAAATTAAATTAATTTAATTTATAATAATTCATATAATTTTAAAAGAAAATAGTCAAATAAAAACGAAGGGACAAAGTAATATATTATTGCAAATTTAATTAACTTCTATTTTTTTTTAAAATAAACCGTGTGGCAGCTTTGATGCCAAAAGACGTCATTCATGTGCAACAGAAAGCCATAATTATAAGCCGCAAATGTGGACAATTCTTTAAATTTGTATGTAAAATTTGTTTAAAAAAATTGAATACTAATTTGTTTTGATGTATATTTGAGTATACGTAATGTATTTTTTCAAGTTATATCAAAAAGAAATCGTCCATGTTCTCAAATATAAGTTAATAATTCATACAATTAATGTTGATGTATAATTAAAAGAAATATTTTACGTTATTAACCCGTTTCCGTAGTGGTTATTTGTTCAGATTCAAAATTTATTTGTCCAAAATATTTTTTAGTCAGGCTATACATAATTCTTATTTTACAAATATTGAAATATTTAATAACATTATCGTTATTGTTTTACTCATTTTGATTCGCAATTTTATTTAGAGAAGTTCACAGACATGTAATATTTGATTAATTTTTTAAAAATATTAAAATGGTAGATAAACTTAAGTTCCTGGTGGAATTTTAAATTATTTTTGCACCACATATTCATAAGTGGAAACTTTATAAAATTCTTAGAATTAAGAATATATCTTTAATAATTTTGGGATGCGAAGTGAAGTCGTGGCAGTAGAAGAAAGAGACTGAAGTAGCCTCTTTTCACTCAACATGCGCCACGTCATCATTTATTTTTCTCTGATTCATACTTGCTTTGTTTGCGGCTTTTTAGGTCATTGCTATCTAAGTGTGAGTATTTCTCACTTATTATTATTTATTTAAAACTGTTATTATTATTATTATTATTATTAATAATAATAATAATAATGCTTTCCAACAGAGTTATCCATCTTTTTTTTTTGCTTAGATGAGGGCTGGCCCTACACGAGTAGCACAATATCCATGTTGATGTGTGTATATATGGAGTAGAGCAATTTGTTACAACAAAAACTGACACAAAATTCAACAGAAATATGATTTCACGACCAATATTATTCAAGCACTTAGACCTTTAATAAATATATGACAAATTAGTACTACCACAATAATAATAATAATAATAATAAAATATTTCTCTTGTAGGACATACTTTACAGAAATATACACTAGCTAGGAGTTGCTCTTTTCATTTAGTCACTCTCGAAAAGAGCGTTCGATGAGTGTATCCCATGAAAATTAAAATAAATTGAGTTCATAAATTTAACGAATCAGCAAAAAGTTGATGAGTTGAGTTGGAACAAGTTGAACCAAATATAAACTCAATAGTTTTAACATATAACCGTCAAATTTTGTGAATATAGTTCTTCTATAGGTGCAAAGAAACATTAGTTTCGGCTTAGTCATGTTACTACATACATGCGATGGCGTAGCAGAATTTTCAGTAAGATATCAAGAAATAAACACACATTTATTAGAGATATGGCTTACCGGTTACTATACTGAAAGATTTGGACATAGCACAAGTTTTAAGTTTATTGCACTGAACTGCTCCTTTTAGTCATGGATATTTTAATTTCTGAAAAATATGTTGTTCTGCATTAATTTCATATAACCCTGTTTAACATGCTCAGTGAGTAGAATTTAGCGGGGATGTAGCAGGTTGCTTGCTTTATCACTAAGGAATTAGCTATATCGTAGTCGTTAAACAAAATATAGATTTTGTCAGAACATGTTGTTTGCTACTCATATCTATTATAAGCCGTTACTTGTAGTTATCTTTAGACAGCCTGATCACGCATAGAAATTGAACTAATCCTGATGTACCATGTACTGTTTTGTTTTCTCAAATTGATTTGTAGGGAGTGTTGCTTCTCACCTTCACAGCAGTGATGGACACATTGAGACCTCCAAAATGCTTTGATGGTTCAAATGAGTGCGGAAACGCATCAACATTCCATCTTACAATCTTATATGCAGCTTTAGCTCTAGCATATTTGGGAAACGGAGGAACACGTTTCACCATTGGATCAATGGGAGCGAATCAATTTCATAAGCCAAATCACCAATCCATTTTCTTCAATTGGTATACTTTTGCGCTCTACACATCTAATGTCATTGGTAGCACAGTCCTTTTGTATATCGAGGACAATGTGAGTTGGGTAATTGGGTTCGCCATCTGTGTCGCCTTCAACATCTTTGGCTTGGCTATTTTCTTGTCTGGACGACGTTTCTATCGACATATTGAGGCACAACAAGAAAGCCCTTTCATGAGTTTGGCTCGAGTCGCCGTGGCTGCTATTAGGAAACATGGAGAACCATTGTCATTAGGAGGTGAAGATTATTATAATGGCATGACAAAACAGGACAGTTCAACAAATGCTCATGACCCTACAAATCCTAGCAAATTCTTCAGGTATAACAAAACTCTCCCTACGATACGTAATGGTTAGCAGGGGAATTCGAACTAGGTGAAAGTTCAGACAATTAAATAGGATTAGTGGCTTAGAGACCATTGATACACCTAATTCCTGTTGTTTTAGGTGATTTTATAGTCCTGGCTCTTAATATTCTAAGTGAAAATCACTTCCAAATGTCGACAAATGAATGTGTGTGTGTGTTTTAATAGGTTCCTGAACAGAGCAGCTTTGATCACGGAAGGAGATAAGAAACCGGACAGAGTCACTGCTGAGCCATGGAAACTATGTACAGTACAACAAGTAGAAGATTTGAAAATCCTGATAAAGCTTTTTCCAATATGGACTACTGGTTTGCTTCTCTGCACCCCACTAGTCATACAAACCAGTTTAGCAATCCTCCAGGCCCTGAAAATGGACAGGCACTTAGGATCGAATTTCAAAATCCCAGCTGGTTCTGTTATAGTCTTCACGCTGATCTCCACGTGCATAACAATAACATTCATGGACCGAGTTGTATCCCCCTTGTTGACTAAACACATCCGTATTTCTCTGACACCTCTCCAACGGGTTGGGATAGGACACGTGCTGACAGTCGTCAGCATGTTCCTATCCGCCCTGGTAGAGTCAAATCGGATAAAGTTGGAGCACCAAAATAGTGTTGTGGTGCCAATGTCAGTCTTCTGGCTGGCACCACAACTAGCTATTTCAGGCGTTGGGTTAGCTTTTCATTCTCCAGGATACGTTGGATTTTACTATCAAGAATTTCCAGGGTCGTTGAAAAGCACGTCTACCGCGGTTGTGGCGGTTTTTATGGGAGTGGCGTTTTATCTAGGGAATGGGGTGATGGATTTGGTTCAAAGAGTGACAGGATGGTTGCCTGAGAACATAAATAATGGTAGGTTGGATAATGTTTTCTGGGTGATTAGTGTTTTAGGAGCTTTAAACTTTGTGTATTATGTTATATGTGCTTCATTGTACGAGTATAAAAATGTTGACAAGGAAGTGAGTGATTCTATCGACAAAATTGATGGAAATTAGTCCAAATGAAATACTCCTGGATTCATTATGTAATCATTGAACAAGCAATGAACCTCTTTTTTCAAGAAAAAAAGAAGATAAAATAGCTGACATTTTTTATTTTTTTTTTATTTGTTGACTTTAACATGTTTATTTTCCCATTAGTTAATGTACAGGCCAATGCATTCAGGGTAACAGTCCATTCTGTTCCCTCCAAAAAAAGACAAATAAATAATAATATGCTTTAAGCACAAATCATCCTTTTTGTTCCCCGGTACATTTGGGAGGTGAATTTTTGAGCAAAAGTTTTTGGACATTAACTGTGTATCACTACAACAGTCCATTGTTTGTTTTTTGTGCACACATTTTTAAAGCTACAAAGTAAAAATAGTAAATCGGCAAGTAGACAGGCAAAGACACTCGGTGGGGATCTATCTACATAGTTAATTGAAACCCCACATATATCACTTTAAAATTTCAAGTCACATTTTAAACCGTAAAGATAAATCACGTTTTAATAAATGAAAGGAGAGACATTTTTAACGCAAAAATTAATATTTGGAGCAATTGTGGATCAGTAGGTGGAGGGGGGAAACGATGAACTTAGGATTAGGGATTGAGTCTAAATTTGATGCTTATGTATTAAGGATTTTTGTTCTTATACATTAATGTGGTCTAATTTAATAATTCCCTTGTATATATATATTCAATGAATTTCTCTAGGCAAATATCAAATTTAAATTTAAATTATTATGTTCAACGTACAAACTAACTCAAAAGGTTCATCCATAAATACCTAATCTATTTCTGATTTTTTGGGATCAAAACTCACACTAGGTAGCATTATTGAAACATAACTCTACTTCTCATTAGCAAAAGAAAAGAATATTCTTTACACATTTATGAATGTCAATAAGACTAGTTTTTAGGGGTAAACTGTAAAATCCTGTCAAGAAAAAAAAAATAGTTGAATTTCCCACCTTTTTTGAATTAACTGTCAATACAAAGCGCTTCTCAATTTGGATTCAAGAATCAAAAACTCACTTTCCTATATTAACAATCTCTTCTCAACCCCATTAAATTCTCATTTTCCATTAGCTCTGTTCTTGTTACATTCGCAATCAGTTAAGTTTTTTTTCCATTGATAATTCCTCTTCCACTTTGTTCTTAGTTGAAGAAGCAAATTGATACAATGCAAGAAGATTCTGTATATGATCCACTAGTTTTCGGTCTTGGTAGTTACATCTATTGCAGTAATTGTGAAGTTCGAATTGCTCGTGTCCAGTATTACATTCCTAATGTAAGGATTCTCTCTGCGTCATTTTGTACTCTGTTCTTGACTTTAGAACAGAACAACTTATTATGTTCATTTTCTTGCCCAGGTGCAGGACTTAGATTATGGAGGCTACTTTGAGAGAGTGTAAGTATCATGATTTCGATAATTCGGAGTTATTTTGATTTGATTAGGCTTTTTTCTGAGTTGTGTGTATTATATTCAGGTTTAATGTTGTTATACTAGACCAACCGAAATTTCATCAACAAGAAGATGGAAATACCCTAACCACACTCAATATTTACTGTACCCAATGTGATATGCAGCTCGGATGGAGACTAGTAAGATACTAATATTAAAAATCATTTTTGTTTTCATGATAACAAGACGATTTTGTTGCTCTTATTTCTCTCTCTTAAATACAGAGTTTGTGATTTTATTTCAGATGGAAACCACCCTACCGTCCAAGTATTTCATAAGAGGAAGATTCTTTATGAGATTGTAAGTTTCTAATTATGAATTTTTGCAAATTGAGATTGTCTCTATATATATTTTGTGGAAGGTGTTAATTTAAATGTGGCAGGGACATGCTCATGTACAAGAGTCGTGTAACGTTGCATGATTCTCTCTTTGGAGGTGCAAATCGACAGGATCATGTTCAAGATGCAGGGGCTAATGCTGATCAAGAAGCAGGTGCTGATGAGAGAAATGCTGATCAAGATAGAGATGCAAAGAACAGAATCATGATCAAGATGAAACCGCTAATGAACAAGGTCCTAATGAACAATGATCAAGATGGACCACGGCCAATGAAACGAATGAAGATGTAGTAGACCAACAGGCTGACGGAAATGCTGACATTGATAGCCTACTCATGCTGATCAAAATGCAGAAAGATACACATTGCACTTCACAAAATGCTAATTCATATTTGTATGATATTCTTTTTTCTCTTTCTGATATTGGAATTACAGTACAGATTATTATTTCAGGCTGCAACAAAGCAGTTGACACTGCACTTTTTACATGTTTCAGCTCTATATGCTGCTTTGTTTTTCTTTTAATTTTTGGAAGCAAGTCAACTGTCAGAGATGTATTTCCTGAACTGCAATCATATTTTTCTCGAAGCTAAAGTTGCTTGACAATAAATGCTAGTGAAGTTTGGTTTGTTTTTCTACAAAGGGAAAAAGGTCTGATATACCCCTTAACTTTGTCATTTAGAGATATATACCGTTGTTGACGGGTATATCAGACCCTTAGAAGCTAAAGTTGCTTGACAAGTGCACTGTTCCAGTATGTGGTGAAGTTAGATTTTAACAGATATGTATGATAAATTGATAATTATGTATTTATAGATTTGATTTTTATTGTGACCTAGTTCAGAGAACGACAGCTTGGTTGCCAGACAATATCAATGATGGAAGAATGGATACCGTCTTCTGGTTCTGTTGTTTCCTGGGATCAGCAAAATTCATGTGTTACCTTGCGTTTGCCTCCTTCCACAAGTATAAGAATATAGACGAAAACCAACTGATGCACTCCCTGAATGGCAAATTCTACTTATTAGTACAATTCAAGAAGCATGGATACCATAAGTTCTGCAAGAGATTTCCAGGCTTCGCTTACTGTCTGGAATAAAGATACAAGTTTCCATGAATGAGATATTGCTTTTTACATGAAAGAAAAAAAAAGGAATCCTTTAAAGCGGATGTAAAAGAATTACATATAAAAGGATAAATCGTGTGTCTATAGAGAAATGTATCAGTTAGCAGCTTTTCTAGCAAAGCAGTGTCAATCTAGTCTACACCAGGAACATGTTAGGTGGCGAATAAACGAATTTGAAAGAGACCAAGATTAGTCAATACGAATCAGGAGTCAGGAGGCCCATTGTGGTGGAACTTTGTACAGTCATACGGTCCAAGTTGATTGTTTTTCTTCTTCACCTGTAAGTCAATGAAAGATAACAGTTCAATAAACTAATATGAAATCGGCAGAACCAGTCAATATAAATATATGCAACAGCACGCTATTTTCCACATAAAGAAACAAGTGAGGTAAAAAACCCTCTAAGCAAGTACTAAAATGTATCTACGTGGAGCAAAATGGTACACTAAGCTCCAGTTAAGCGTGAGGTTCTTGGAAGGGCCAAACCACATAGAGTATATTGTAAGTAGCCTAACCAAAAGTGAATCAATTCTCACTTAATTGGTAGCATATGCCATAGAACCTGTTTAACTATAAGTAAGAACAAAGTTAATGCACTCTCATTCTAGCGTGTGACATACATTTAGATATGGCATGCTACCTCAAACAAGAAAAGAAGCATGTATGGATAGTGACATACCGGAGACCATGGGCTTGGCTCAGGTAAGGATTTCTCTTGAGGTGAGTTTTGTACAGCACCGCCTTTCATTGTTAATATATCCTGTAGAATCAGTACACAGGAGTCAGTTACTCGACTACTTTTTTCTTAATTATGCTCCAACAACAGATTTAGAGCACTAGAGCTTAACACTCAATCCAAATTTGTCTCACTGTCTAACCTAATGTTCAGAACACAACATTTAAGGATGTCAAGCTTGCCGATTGTTCTGGACCTATTACTTACTGGATGATAGCTTCTATCATTTTACTAAAGGAAATATGATGAACAGCTAATATCTCATCAGTTTTTCCTTTAATACCACCTGCTATAAGTGAAGGATTTGGATAAAGGTGTGGAAGCAAACTGCTCTTGAGGAAACTGAAGATAACTGGAATTAATAAAATATGCTTCAAAAAGTTAATTACGTTTGGCTTCAATAGATCACAGTATACAACTCATTTTCCAAAAAAGAAATTACCTCCCCTGCAGCTTCCATTGCTGCCAACCATTCATCAGAAAATGGAACTGCATCCCGTGGTGGTAATATCAAAAGATTGGCCTTCTTCAGACAGCTCTCAGCATCCTTGCTGCCATCAACAAAAGGCATTTTAGCAATTCTTCAGAAGAATTGAAATTTGTGAAAGGCTAAGTCCACAAAAATGAAGTAGTTCTTTGGAATGAGAAAAGTTGATGCAATACTTACACTGGCAAAATGGTGGCGCAATTTGTGCATTGTTCGGTATCTTCCAGCCCAGGGCAAAGTTCATTTTGAGAACTCTCACTTCCACTAAGTTTACCAGTTTCAGATTCCTTCACCAGAATATCTTCATTCAACATGTCATCTACCGTCCTTTTGATTCTTGATGAGGTTTGATCCCCTGCAACAAGTTCTATGCAATCAATTGGCACAATTGCTGTATGGTTTTTACTTGTCCCCTCAGAAAAATCATATTCCAAAGGTAAAGATTCAATTGCCACTGGATATAATAGTCTACCTGCAACACAGTGGATAGTATCCAGATTATCCGCATCATTATCACTCCCATGAATCGGAGATGACTCCTGGTTCAGAAAACTTGGGCTTTTTAATCCACCTGCATCAACACTTCTTTGTGATGGAAAAACTTCTCGAAAATTCTCAAAGGCATTGCTGCTTTCACATTCTTCCACCACAGTAATAGGGGCTTTTTTAGGCAACAAGTGGGCATCTTTGTTATATGTCTCCACGTGCGCATCTTCTATCTGTATGATATTTGTGAGGGCATTTGTTGTCTTTCCAACTTCATTTGCTTGTCTTGCATCTCTGAGTTTTGGAGGAGTATGAAGACTCTCTAATACAACCTTATGACGCCCCGGTTCTGTTGAACTGGAAGGGATGAAGTCTGCATGGCTGCACATGTGTGACTCTTCAACTTTCAAGCTTTCCGGAGACAGCATACCAAGCTTCAATGTGATGGTCTCATTACCATCATTTAGCTTGATTGATGAATCTTGAATTTCAAGTTCATTCATTCCTTTGGAGAGGAGCACACCGTTGATCAATTTGTTACCTTCACCCACTGGACCAAGTATACCAGATCCAATTACATTTTGTGTTCCCCTGGAAGATGAACCAAATTCCATAGAGGAAGTTAAATTTCCATCATTGTGACAGTTCAATGAATTGTGTATTTCAGTTTCATCCACCACTTTCAACACAGACTCTATAATTGGTTTCCTACATTCGCCAATTGAACCAGGTACATCTGATACCATTTTGTCTCTTGTTCTACTAGAAGATGAACCAAATTCCAGACAGGTAGTTGAACTTGCAAGAATCTTATCAGGATTGACTTCTTCATCTGTTGAATGATTGCAATTACTGGGAAGAGTAATTTTGACAGGACTAGGACACATGATTTCCGCAGGATCTTCTCCAACCATTGTCTGTACACTTGTTACATCAAACCTATCAAAAACACTTTCATCTGATCGATATGGAAGACCAGAGAAACCAGTTTCATCAATCTGTCCATCTTGGCTTTGATCTATGTAAACATGTTTACTAAGGGACTGGCCACTTGAATGCAATACGCTACCAGGATGGGACTTATGTTCTGAGTAAATTGAAAGCCCATCAGGATCAGTCTCGCAATTTTCACCAGATAAAGTTACACTTGAGATATCTGCTACTAAACCTCCTGTTTGTGCTCTATCTGTGATCTGTTTGCAGGTAAAAGCTTCTTTCAGATTATGAGAATCTTCATGCTGATATGCAACTTCTAACATTTCAATCTTTACTTCACTAAAGTTTGAACCTGTGAGATTCAAGGGCTCACAGTTCCCTCCTCCAATATTCCTTAGCTCTCTCTGGACTTTGCTCAAATTGCTCTTAATCTTCATAATGTACTTATCATTATCAAAGATCCCGTCATCTTCAACTGCAAAGGACTTGACCTTCTCAAATTCTCCACCAGTTAAATTATTGCAGCCTCCCATGAAACCTTCCTTCATCACCTCCCCGCTCAAATGAATCATATTCCCATACTTTGAGTTACAAATCAAACCATCAATTACTGAAGAAATGTCAGATTCTTCTGCTTCATTTGGATTGCCATCTTCCAGTCTATGTAGAACTAGAGATTCTGAATTGTAGCTAGCTTGTGGTAACTCAGAATCTCTAAAACCTGATCCAGCAGAGCCTTTATTTTCTATAAAACTAGGAGTGAAGTTCATGAGATCACCATTTTTGTTTATATATTCAAGTTTTCCCGTTTGTGGTGGATGTTGCTTGCCGTTCATCAGCAATTCCGTATCCTGAAGCTTGTTTTCTTCGTGCTTGATGTGATCCAGTACTTGCTCATCAAAATTACCAGCATGATCTCTGAAATTATCACTGACTAGATCAAGCTTCTTAATAACACTACTTGGAATATTCACTCTTTCTACACTGTTTCCTTCCAAGCCCGTTTTAGATACTCTGTAGGATGATGTTGAGCTTTCTGATTCAGATCCTAGTACCTTAGAGTTTAGATTTGCTAAGTCGTCATTGCCTTCTTGCCTTGCTAGTGTCTCTGGTGGCCTCAGATCACCAGACCTTTGTAATGGGCACAAATTAGACTCGACTTTCGACAAGCGATGTGTATCTGAAGCTTTTGTCTGCAATCAACATATTAGTTGTCATGTCTTTAAAATGAAATGGTAAAGCATGAGCATCATGCAGCTTATTCACCTAAAACAAAAAGAACCTAATGCTTTTCCAGAATAGTGCTGGGTTGCTGATAATACCTGACGAAAAAATCCCAAGGAAGGTGAGGGCCTCCGCAGACCTGATGGTTTCATGGCTTGTGCGGGCAGGTATGGCATACTGCTAACAGCAGTACGAGTTCTGTGAGGAAGAGGAAGTACGAATGGTGTACATACATCATGACTTTCAGATGAATGTGCTCGGGTAGATGGAAGTGTGGCATTTCGGTTCATCTCCACTCCAGTATTGCTAGAATTATTAACTGGAGAAGATTCAATTGATGCCTGTAATTTTGATGGTGATTTCTCCTGCACAAATTAGAATTCAGCAAAAAGGAGGGGCTTCAATAGTGTTGGTTAACTACCAAATATATTGAATGTAAGCTATTTAGTGTTGTGTTCTTGAAATTTGAACAATTCTTAGTCGCACCAAATTTTTCTAAAATATTGAGCTTAAAACTTGAACTAACCCTTATGTCATTTCTCCTTAAAATTAAAATACATGATAAAAATATTTATCTTTGAAATTTATAAGTACTTTTAAGTTCTTAATCACACAGTTTTTTTAAAAAAATATTGATCTTAAACTTGAACTGAAGCTTACATCATTTCCTCTGAAAATGCATGATGAAGATTTATCCTTTAAAGGTGCAGCGTCAGCTTTTGCTTTCTCTTGGCTATTTCTCAACTTTCTGGAGGAGCTCATTAATCCTAGATTTTTCTGAATACCATAAGCTGCATGGGAAAGGATATTAGAATATAAATGACCTACTCTTTTAATTTGTGACCCAAATAAGGAAGTTACTTTCGCAAAATATAATATTGCAGCACACTT